GTTACAATCAAACCAATACTGTTAATTTTCTATTTTAATTTGTTTTTTAATAGTTAAGTTATGGATTAATGTTAATAAAATTAATTATCATTATTTAATTGAACATATCTACAACAAAATCCCAATTACGCGGTTTTAATTATCATCAAAATTTTCCATCATTTTCTTAGAAACCAAACAGACAAGCCACCAAAGCATTCAAACAAACCCAGTTCAGATGCATTTTCAAGTAAACTAAAATTTGAATGAAAAATATGTCCATTTAACTGAAAATTCGACCAAAAATAAATTAGTTGTTTGTTTGTTAGGAATTTAAAGAAAATTAACAATAAAAAAAGGACTCCATTTAATGAAAATTCAGCCAAAAAAATATCAAAGGAAATGAAATACAGGATGAGCAAAACTCATCAATACACTCACCGTTTCCTTTCCTCCCTTGTCCTTCACCTTGAACTCCACCACCGCCCTTCAACTACATCACTAGAACTGGATTTAAGAAGTCTTGATCTTTTCCGATCCAAATCATCATTTCATTCTCCAATATCCACCACGAACCCAGATGAAATTGAATCGTTTCACCACCGAAGTTCTTATAATGGATGTGGGTTACATTTTATTTGATGATCGTAAAATAGAATAAAGGATTCGGTAGAGGACCAGAGGTTATCTCATCTTTTAGCTGTACCAAACATGGGATATAGTGAAATGGACAAATTTTTTATCCCATCTCATGATTTGCCCGGGCTCTTAACGTGCTCTAATTTGAAAGAAATCAAGAAGCATCTGATTTACTTTAATAAAGTGAAACAAAGGATTAGCTTTGTTGAAGAAAATGGCCGCCAATCTATCATAACGAGGTGCAATGCTTTACTTTAGTAAAGTGAAACAAAATAAAGTTTTAGCTTTGTTGAAGAAAATGGCTGCCAGTGTATCCTAGAGAGCCGCCAACCTATCATAACGAGGTGCAATGCTTTATGGATGAGATGCATGCTTTGGTGGGGATTTGTATCAGTTATTCCTCACAATTGCATTCAGGGCCTTGAACAGTTATGCAATATCGCAGGAAGGGGAGGAGGAGGTGCTGGCTGGAGGATCGTATGCATTGCGTGCATTTGGTCCATTTGGTTGGCTAGGAATGAAAGAATATTTAAAGGCAGCCTTGTTGAAACAGATAGATTATTTGAACTGGTGCAAATGAGATCTTACCATTGGCTCAAAGGGAAATTGGAGGGCAGCTATTTCAATTATAACGAATGGTCTGTTGATCCATTGCTATGCATGAAATCAGTGAAGAAGAAAAAGATTATGATGCGGAAACAATGACATGGGACGGATCCAGCAAGCTGTCTAAAGCTTAACTGTGCAGGCAAAAGGAAAAACAAAAAATATACAACCATCAAGTAGAAATAGGAGCAGAGGGATAATAACCACCACAGCATCAAGGAAGGATGTGAGGAGGCTGAAGAATACAAGCAGGCTGAAAACAATTGAAAGGTACCAGAAATGCAACTAGGGAAATCCAGAGCCAAAAATATCAACAAGGGAGGTTATGGTACTCTGGAAGGGTTGAGCATTCTGAAACCCGACATGGTCGTGGTGTCGACACTTTATTATGGTGTCGACACCAAACGGAAGAACTGGACTTGGTGTCGACACATAATATAGGTATCGACACCGAATGAAAGGGTTATTTGACTGTGTAAATGTTAGCCTTTTAAACCGTAATGTTTACTGGTTTGAGATGTTGCTTGTACTCTATTTCAATAAATATTACTTTTGCTTTTTCTAAAAAACAAAAAAAAAGTGAAACAAAATAAAGTTTTAGCTTTGTTGAAGAAAATGGCTGCCAGTGTATCCTAGAGAGGTGCAAGGCTTTACTTTAATAAAGTGGAACGAAGGATTAGCTTTGTTGAAAAAAATGGCCGCTAACGAATCGTTGCGATAATATAGGCCCCATTAGGCATAATGATTTCGAATAATAGTTAATAATTTTGTTTAAATGGTTAAAAATAAATATATAATAAATTTGATTATTTTAAAATTATAATAAATT